TGACTCAGGCAGGCCTGGCAGAGCGGCCTTTGCCCCAGCAGACAGCAGCACGGTCTTCTCCCGGCTGCCTGACCACAGGTCACCTGGGAGCTGTCCTCCATGGACGGAAGCACCACGTCCACACCCTAAAGGTCAGAGGCTGCTTCGAGGACACAGCTGGGGGACTGGCCTGGCCTCTGAGCCCGAGTCCCGCCTCCCGGACCGATAAGCGGCCGAGATGCAATAAAGCTGCTCAAAGCTCCATTCAACGCAGGCGCAGCCTCGGGCCAGGCCGAGCGGGCTTCGCGACCTCGGCACCCCAGCTTTCTTCCCTGCTTGCTGCATCCCCACGGGCTATGAACGCACGTTCAGTGCCTAGCCTCCTCCGACTGACACGGACCCAGGAACAGAGAACTCGACACACTTGCCCAAAGACACACAGCCGATGGCTCAGCTCTGAGTCGCACGTGAAACTGCCTTACGCTCCCGGGCAGAAATCCCATTCCTGGGACACACGGCTTTTCCAGGAGCCCAGCAAGGGAACTGAGAAACCCAAAGTCAGCCTAGTAAAACCAGCTACAAGAACAAAGGGTGCTGGCCAAGACCGGCTCTGAGGTTAGTTCAGAGGAAATGACCAAGCTCCAAGTTCTTCCAGACACTGATGGGGAGGTGTGTGTGTGTGTGGGGGCTGGAGGGGGGGGGAACAGTTGCATCTGGGGCTTTGACTACAAGAAGAAATGGACCAAAGAGCGAAGTCGGACTCCAGACACAGGCTCGGGGTCAGCCCGAAAGACTGAACAAGCACAAAAGCAGAGGCCCGTCGGTTTCACTGACGTCGGACGCGTTTCAGGGGCTTTGCTCGGGAAGGCGGGACTGTCAGCCGTGACGGCGCCCAGCTCTCCTGGAGCCCGATTCGGAGGGGAGGCTCTGGCAAAGGAGGGCCCTGGCCAGCGGGGAGGAGAGGGAGTCCTGCTGAGTGGCCCGGGGGAGCCCTCCTCCTGCCCCGGGAAGCTGGATCCCTTCACTGTGAAGTACACATCACGCTGCAGGAGAAGACCCGGGAGGCCCCCGAGGGAGTCGGGGAGCCGCAGCCAGGACCAGGCCGGCCCCGCAGGCCGCGGCTCTGCTTCCGCGCTTCCGGCCCCTCGAGCCGGTGCGGGCAGCGTCCTCTGCCCTTGGCCTCGCACGACAGTTCTGGAGTCCGTGCTCTGCCCCCGGCCTTCCCTGCGGGTCCACACACTGTCCTCGGGGGCGTTTTCCCGAGCGTGCCAGGCTCCTAGGGGCCCCTCCACGTGTCCCTGACCCAGTCAGCATTTCATGACTCGCGACACCCCCCACACCCAGCCAGGTTGCAGAGCCTGAAGACCAGGCTGGGGTCTCCCCAGCATGTGACAAACACTGGACCCCGGGCCCAGCACGTGCTGGTCTGTGTCCGGGAGTCGGGCCCCGGCTGGCAGCCATGGAGAGCGTTCGCTGCTGCTCGAACACACCGCCTCGGCCAGGCTGCTCAGTCTCGACAGCCAGCCTCTTCGACGGAAGGACTGGTGCCATCACCCTGCCACTCTGCAGAGCCAACTCTGGGTCACGGTCCCCAGATGCCGCCCTTCTTCGGGGGTGCAGGGTGTCCCTGGGGCTCTGTGGTGGCCTTCTCCAGCCTCCCTCCAGCCTGATGGTTTGAGGGTCAGCACCCCGAAGACCAGTGAACCCTCAGCACAGATCTTCAAAGAAAGCCAGCGCCCCGGGCGAAATCACCAGGTGTGCGGGGACCAGTGGGGAGAACCCGCAATCCTGATTCTGATGGGGCCGGTTTTCTGCTCCAGGGACACTTTCTACCCCGGAGACCAGGCATTACACACCCACCGTGTCGGAGACCAGTGACACGATTTTAGCACATCAAACAATGTCACGAGGGGAGCTCTGGTGACAGAGGACGCAGTGACAACCACTAGCCACCCCCACAGACCCAATGTAAACGAACCACAGAGGCTGCCCTGCCCTAAAGGGTCCTTGGGCAGTGTCCTCTCGTGACTAGATGGGGGTCAAAATTGCACCAAACGAATCCAGTTGCATCCAGAAAAGTGGCTGGAAAGAAAGGGGAAAACCCCAGAAAGAACGCGCTGGGGCTGAGCCTCGGCCGAGCCCTCAGCGGCCTGTGCTCCGCTGTGTGTGGGGACAGGTATCTGGAAATGGCTCCAGCACTGCTGCCTGCCAGCTCCATCCATCACAGGGAGGGCTCAGTGACAGCAAACCCGTGGCTGTGGCTGACACCACGTGACACGGGGGAGGGGGCATCGCCTGGTCACACCCACTTTCAGAATGTTCTGCAGCTTGTGACAGTCAACCAGGTCAGTGTGTGAGCGCCGGGGGACCCGCCAGGCGCCGTCACGCACGCGGCCAGTGGGCTGCGCCGGGGTCCCGCCTCGCCTTGTCACCATGAACGGCTGGGTCAGCAGACCTGCAAAGAGGCGCCTATTGTCTACAGGCTATTTGTTATTTACAGGCTCCAAGAGAGCCAGCCGAGATGAAGCAGGTCGTCAGTTAGGGACGGAGATAAACGAATTTATGTTAAAGTATCCGAAGCACATAAAAATCAAGCCAGGCACCTACAAACAGACAGCCCGCTGTATACACACAGGATGCCTCTCCAAACGGAGAGGGGAGCATCCATGTCCCAGGCAATGCCCGCCCCTCCGGGGGAGGGGAGCGTGAGCTAGGCGAAGACCCAAATGAAGACTGACTCGTGCGGCCGACAGCCGAGGCACTAGATCCACATCTAGACATGGCGATCTCCCATTTCAGCCCGGCTCGGCAGCCAAGGACGAGGTGGAGCTGCTGGCCCGAGGTCCAGGTTTCTAGACTTACGCGACGCTTTTCTTAAATATAAATGCTACCCTCTCGGGAGCAAAGGAGCAAGGAAACTCCCCAGGAGCCTGACAGCAGGTTCCGGCAGGTTCCAACAGATCCAAGTCTGGCTGCCGATCCCATAAAGCCTGCCACACAAAATGCCATTTGCGCAGGCTGAGAGGAAGCCGAGCTCTGACCCCCCAGCCCCCGGCGCGCTGCTTGCGGGGAGGGTTTTAGACACACTGAATGTACAAGAAGGAACGAGGAGGGAAATGACGGCGATGCGACGGATCGTTTGACGAGAAGTTTATTTGCTGGCCATCTTCCGACTGCAGGCTTCCTTGGTACTGGCTCACTGCCACGCAAATGAAACAAATCGACGTCTGGTCCGCAAAAACCCGTGTTACCATCACACGCCAAACAACTAAAAAACACCCCTCCCCCCACACCCAAATCACAGGGAGCGTTTTTGTTAGAAGGCGGTGCAAAATTAACAGGAGAATAAGAAAATAAGGCAATTTAACAGGTTCTCCTTCAGCAAAACCTTTCCAGGACTTCAACGAAGAGATAATCTTTCTGTGATTATGACCAAACCCTCCCGTTGCTTAGCAACACATAATTAAGGAATATGTTTTCAGATCCGCTTTGCAAGCCCGGCCATTATCAGATGAAATTACTGGAGCAACAAATGTCATCGCCATGCAAATGAGTTGGTGGCAAAGAAAGAATGTTTGACGGCGAGGGAGACGGCACAGGCCCCCGGAAACAAGGTGACTGTTCTCTCGTCACGCACCGATTTTAAAAAAAAAAAAAAAAAACAAAAAAAAAACACA